ACTCTAAAATTCTAAAAAATAGAGTCTAGGTAAATGGAGAGTGAGAGAGATTGATTACTGAATCCTGGAGTCTACACTCAACACATGCGACAGAAATGTGTATCTACCACCAGTTTGACTGCAGCTGTGGAGCCAGCTACATTGGACGTACAATTAGGCAAGTTCATCGTCGTATTCCCGAACATCATCCAACATGGCAAGGGGACAAACAAGATCTATTCATAGTTCTATTTTAGTCCACCTCGTTGATACTGAGCATAAGGTTGATGTGAATACTGCATTTAAAATTATTTATCGTATTCCGACTAATCTTAATTTTGCTCAGCGAGTTCGTCTTCTACAGACAGCTGAAGCGATTGGAATTCACCTGAAAAATTTGTACAGCCACTTTCCCTACCGTGGCCATCGTTACAATAATGCATAAACAGGACTACGTCGCCCCCCTCCCCCTAAACCTATAAAAATTATAATTGTCTAAATTATTTATTTTATTTTTAATTATTTTGACCACTTCATCTTTAATTTACGTGTTATCCTTGTAAAATTAATTTATTCTAACCATTTCTACCTTTTAAATGTGTATTGATTTTCTTCGTTAATTATCACCCCACTCTACTGACATCTTGAAACTGACTAATTATTGTTAACAAACGTATCAGTGCCACTTGATCGGTAAACTGTTGTGTATTGTAATAAAATGCTATATGTGTATATTAGAGTAGAGCCAGAGATGAGGATCTAATTGAAAAGTAAATATTTCTTCACTCAATCTTTCTGTTTTCTAAATGTTTCAATGGGGATTTTTTCCATATAGAAATGACTCAACAGAAATACCAGAAATATGGAAGATATTATTACCAGCAGTCAGTTAAATCAGAAAAGGATAATAAATAATCTTAAAATTCTATTTCAATTCAAGCACATCACAACATTCTAACAAGTTACTTATTATGACTATAAAAACACTCGTCTTATTTCCCATCTGATTGAATTTGATTAATAACACTCATAATATTATTTCTGAATGTACTTTATCTTATATTGATTTTATTGAAATCCCTGATCAATTGTTACTCATATACGTAAATGCAGCAAGAAAGTTATGTAAATAGTGCCGTGATATCATTATGAGCTGCAGTAATAATTTGTGCTTAAAACATGGTCATCAGTAAATATTACTGTATAACACTACACTTTATCGAAATAAAAATGTTATCCATAATGGAATTATACTCTACCATAATGCCGCCCAAGTTTTATCCTTTTCAAGTGTTGGTTTGTAGGGATTTGATTGGTTTCAGGATTTCATCATGAGCTGACATTAGTTAGAGAACCATTGGAAAACCTGGGAGTACTGGACAGCTGTTTCGTCCCAGTTTGGGACTCTTCATCTGTACGCACCCACCGTGGTCTCGAACCAGGGCCTTCCGGTTACAAGGCAAGCTGGCTCGTATACCATTCAGCACTGGGACCCAATCCAATGGCCAGTACATGAATTCTAACTTCTGCCAATTCACGACATAGCGCGACCCCTAGCGAATGTCTTCGGCGAGTATTTGTCCTCACACCGACCAGCTGCACCCTACTGTCACGACTTCCCACTGGAACCCATGTAACTACCTACATGAATAGGGCCAGTCGCCAGTGAGCATCTCATTGGTATTCAAGTGTTGGTTTGTAGGGATTTGATTGGTTTCAGGATTCCATCATGAGCTGACATTAGTTAGAGAACCATTGGAAAACCTGGGAGTACTGGACAGCTGTTTCGTCCCAGTTTGGGACTCTTCATCAGTACGCACCCACACCACGGGATTCGAATCCAGGACCTTCCGGTTACAAGGCGAGCTCGTATCCTTTTATCAAGAGCTCATACTTTTTATGAAGTCATCAAGCAAGGCAGTATAAGCAGCCTCAAAGTGATATTCATCACTATGGGTTTGGAATGCACGTCACTCAAAATGGCCGTAAAATACCTGGTCGCTAAGGTCACACTTAAGCGTGATGCAGAACTTTTGTTGATGTGTAATGGATACACTGACTTCTGAATGGTTTTTCTTCAAATGTCTAATCATCAATTTTTATTCATATATATATATATATAAATGAAGGAAGAAAGTTGTGTGAGTGAATAACTTGATATGATTATGAGTGGTAATGATAAATTGTGCTCGAAACGTGGTCATCAGTTAATATTACTGTACAACCACACTGTGTGATTTTATCAAAATAGAACCGTATGCATAGTGCAAATATTTCAGATAATTCTTTGATAGAGAAGCTTTACAATTTTTTTTTACTTAACATCTACATATTCTGAAACAGGAACGCAATAGTAGCATAATAACATAAAGTAGGATGATATATTCATTCAGATGATGGAAATATGGACGTAAAAGTATAAAAACAAATTTTTTTATTTTTGGTTACAGCTTGATTCCACACTGTATATTTTTGGTACAAGTATGGAATTTTCAGCATGGATATCGGTAACCCAAATTTCGCAGGCCGACCATAGATATCAGGTGTGCGTCGGCAGGGGATCGAACCTCGGACCGTGTGCATGGTCGGCGAGAGTCCTAACCACTGTACCACAACTGACACCTTCAAAAAGGCTACACCAAAGAATTGATACTGTGAAAGGAAAATTGTATCATTGAATTTGAACTGTGCGCCATTCATCATTCAGAGACGTAGGAATAAAAAGTGAAATGAGTAGAAGGCTAATAAAATAGTTTGATGTCTGTAGATAATTTTACAGGTTGTGAACAGAACAGTTTCACAGACTCCAAGACGACACTAACACCACCATCAATCCTCATAACTGCTTCAAAACCTTGGTAGCAAAACAGATCACGAGTTGACATCACTTAGAGAACTAGAGTACCGGAGAACCAACCATTTTGTCAGCATAGTTTGGGAGACTCTTATGCAGTATACACCCATTCCACTGACTGGATTAAAGCCCGCTACCTTACAGTCGCAAGGCGAGCTAGCTTGCAGACTCTTAAGCCACTACTGGAACACGACTCCTCAATAGTCAGTCCAAGAATTCCACCACCTGTAAACTCACTCACGATAAAAGAGCGACTGACACCGGCCAATGTCATCGCTGGCGAGTGTTTGTCCTCACAACCGACACCTGCTGTACGCCACTGGTTACAACTTCCTACTAGAACCCTAGGTGACTACCTATGTGAATAGGGCCAGTCGCTAGGGAGTATCAGATTGATATTCAAGCGCTGGTTTGCAGGGATTTGATAAGATTGATGACAGGATTTCATCCTAAGCCGACATCAGTTAAAGAAACCACCAGGCAGTACTAAACAGCTATTTCGTCAGCCTAGTTTGGGACTCTTCACATTAAGTGAAAACAATCTTGGCTGCTTATATGTGAATTTCTCCGTTAAAAATCCAGTTGAGTTCAGATACAGTCAGATAAATTTCCTTGATCAAGTTTGAAAATGCAATTACTAAGTTTAAGCAGTATACATACTATAATTTATTGTGTGTTAGTGTTAAATGTCGGAAGTTGATCAGTTTGACCGGGTAAATGGGAAAAATGTCAAATACAGATACAAATACCTGGCAGCACAACAGTTTGCAGAAGTTAGAATTCCAGAACCATTGGATCGGGTCCCAAAGGCTTAATGGCCTACGAGCTCGCCTGGTAACCAAAGGTCTTGGGTTCGAACCCTGTCGGTGGGTGCGTACTGCTGTAGAGTCTCAAATTAGGATGAAACAGCTGTCCAGTACTCCCAGGTCTTCCAGTGGTTCTCTAACTGATGTCAGCTCATGATGAAATCCTCCACGCAATCAAACAAAAATCCCTACAAAACCAATACTTGAAGATACAAATTCAAGCGACTAGTTTCAATAGAGGCATGGATGGAATCTTGATTTGATGTATCCTTTCGATGAATTATAGGATCTAAAAGAATTTACTATTTAGTCATGAATCTACACCATTGGAGAAACAGTGAGAATTCAGAAGCAACGAATATTAGTTTCTCTCTCATTTATGACTCTACACTATTATTGTGTGACAACAAAGCCACCTGTGGTCGAATTTAAGACCTTCAGGTCACTTGGCGTGTAAACCCTTTGACTATTTAGCTACAAGTGGATTAGAATCCAACGGCTCATGAATTCGGACTTTTGTCAATCCACCACAGACCAAATTTAACCTGATACACCCCACCAGTTAACATTACTCGTTAAAACTCCAGGGGTGACAATCTCGTAGACAGCCACTAATGAGTAGTGGAATATTCAAGTATTAGTTTGTGGGGATTTGGTTGATTGGTTACAGGATTTAATCATGAGCTGAGATCAGTTATAGTATCATTGTTAAAATTGGGAGTACTGCCAGACAGCTGTTTTGTCAGCCTAGTTTGGAACTCTTCAGAAGTACGCACCCACCGGGGCTCGAACCCAGGAGCTTTTGGTTACAAGGTGAGCCAACTCGTAGATCATTATGCTACTGGGACTCGACCCAATGGTTCATGAATCCCAACTTCTGCCAATCCACGACATGGCGCGACCAGTAGCCAATGTCGTGGAATAGTTGAATTGTTGGGATTTGATTGAGGTCACCATAGATTTCGTTACTATTTCAGTTTAGAGGCGAGAGAGAGAACATCGCTTCAATTACTAGAAGTTACAGTTCGCATTTAGCTCATAATGACACTAGTGGGATAGCGCCTGTGAATGGTGGTGGCCACGTGACAGCCCGGTCCGCACGTGGAGACCGCCTCCACTTTTGTGCGTCGGTGGCACAGCGGTTAAGACTCTCGCCGATCATGCACATGGTCCGGGGTTCGATCCCCTGCCGACACACACCCGATATCAATGGTCGCCCTGCAAAATTTGGCTTACCGATATCACATGCTGAAAATTCCATACTTGTACCAAAAATATACAGTATGAAATCAAGCTTTAATCAAAAAAAAATTATAGTTTTAAAAACATTTCAGTTGAATAAAAAAAATTTTTTAACTTACAGTTTTGATCTGAGTCTTCAATTAAAATGCGTAGTTTTTGAACACATAACTAGATATAATAAATGGAAGAATTCAGAAAAGTCATCTTGCAAAAAGAAGAGAAAAGTTAAAAGGCTTTCTCACACACAATACAAACCATCATTATGTAAGTTGAGTAAAACCATTTCATGAGTTCAGGGTTCCTGTTTTGTAAGTTTTTAGCAAGAGACAATGCTCCCTAGATAAGTGAATGAAGTAAACTCTTTCAAATCCCCCCATTTGATGGTGATTGACGCTGGATGTTGCTGCTGTTGTTGTTGGTTGGTTATTTTCATCACCTCCTTCTTGTCTATGTTCACCTGGAGTCCTGTCTTCGCCGACTGCTTCTTCGACCAGTTTGTCGGTTTTCGCTTGTAAGTCTTCGATTTTGTGACAGTGACATCAAACATAATTCATCCACACGCGAAATCCAGGTCATCTAGGTCGGTCCAGGATGTCCCTGTCTTCTCGTTTCCCACTGTCTGACGCATAATCCAGTCAGTCCACCACAATTAGGAATATTATTGGATATAAGTTTCATTAGTAGGTACACATGAATGATTGTTTCATTTAACCTTGCTACATGCGAAACAAATTACAACAAATATCCTTTCACGTGCAGTGAATTCTTTGCTAACGAAACTACACTGAAACTTGGAATTGAACTGTAACGACCAAAATTATTTGGTTATGGGGTGAACACAAGAAACCGATCGCTACATTCCATTGTATAACAGACAAAACTTCTTTGGGATATGCGCCATCATAGAACGTTCCAAAAACAGGGAAAAGACGATTATTAATTAAACGATAGTAATCATAACATGAAATTTCAAATTTACCTCAACAATACCGTGAGGTAGCTATTGTTATACAGACAATATAGGCTTCCAAATACAAAAGAAGCCCTGTAAGACAAAATTAGTTAGGGGTAGGTTCAACTCTAAAAGGCTACCTTAGAATCGAGGAGGGGGATATTCTCGACGAAGTGGGATCGAAAGCTCTGGCCACATAAAATCACACACGAAGGCTTTCCTTCGCTCATATAGCCTTGGGTCAAAATCACAGCCATTCATCCAAACAAACTCATATCGTTACACAGCAGATTGTCAATGTACACACAACCATAAAGAGAAGTGTTACAGTTAGAGATTAAATAAGGACAAACGCAAATAATAAAGGTCAAGATCAATATATTATGTGCGAAAATCAAATTAATCATACATAGTTTTCGGGGGGGGGGGGGTGGGGAAGCGTATGATAATGATAAAGTTAGTTCAAATGTCTAAATCAGTAAATAAGTATTATAAACAGATCATCCATGAGGAATGGATTTCCCAAACAGTTTGTCCATCACATGAACACCGTTGTTTATTCCTTGATTCCATTGGGTGATTACTTTGTAAAAGGTGTTCAGCAAAGAGTTACTCTTTTCAGCGATATCATTCTCAAGCTGTACAAATCGCAAATTTATAGTAATTTGTCTTGGCAACAAAAGGAATATTTCCAAAGATGTGTTAATGCAATTGTTAATTTTTGACAAACAAATTACGTAATTTAGAAGGCGTTAATCGGTTAGAAACTAAAATAAAGTTACAAAAGTAGGTTGGGTGACGTAATCTAATTGATAGGGTTCAATGAAAAAATGAATGAGAGTCAAGTTAATAATCTGAGTAGAATTCACTTAAAAATAAACGAAAATCGAGTTAGCAACAGTCGTCATGAGCGTAGAGATTTAATAGAGGGTGGGGGTAGAAAATAATGCAATTAAGAAATAGACAAACAAAGAAGAAAGAGGTAAGACAAAATTACGTATTTGGTGTTAAGATAGATCAGGACCATTGTAGATTTAGTGACTGAACAAACTTCTTTTGTATGCAGAGTTCAGGATTCAATATGTGAATTGCCATTGCTTCTGCAGTTTGAAGAAGTTTAATTCGTACTCTTTTGGCAAGATTCCCACGTATTGTGTAGATAACTGAGAAGTTGTTTTGTGGGTTTGCTTGGTGTCCGGATTCGATCAAGTGTTCTAGGATAGAGCTGTGGCGGGGGGATCTTCTTTCTCCTTTATAAAACCATGAAGGTAAGTGTTCGCTGATTCGTTTGGATAGCAAACGCTGGGTACGGCCGACATACCTAGCTCCACATGAGCAGGTGAATTGGTAGATGCACATTGATGAGGCCCCCAGTGGAAGCTTATCCTTCACGTTCGTGCGAATCATTGGTTTCGTAGAGAAAGTTAGTCTGAGTTCCGCTGCGAAGAAGGTTTTCTTCAGTGAACGGCACAGGCGGTTTCTCAGTATTTCTGCTGAAGAATCTCCGTTGAATTGTAGATTCAAATAGAGAAGTTTCTTGGGAGCAGTAAGCATGGATGGTTTTTGTGTTTTGGGCTTCATAGCTTTTGTGATGAAACGTTCCGGGTAACCGTTTTCAAGGAGGATTCTTTTCAGGGTCTTCAGCTCTTCTTCTATAGTTTCCGGACTGCAAATGTTGTGGATTCTGTGAGTCAGTGAGCGGATCAGATTTCGTTTTGTATATATAGGCACCCAACTGTGAAAGCTGATGAGTTGTCCATTCCATGTCGGTTTTCTGTGAATGGATCTTTTGAGTGTCCCATCTTGTTCGCGTCTTGCTAGTTGCACGTCCAGAAAAGATATTGTTGCGTTGGACTCCTTCTCTAGTGTGAACTGGATTGCTGGATGGCAACTGTTGAAGAAGTCCAATATGTTCTCCAAATTTTCCTCATTATTGGCGATAATAAAAGTATCGTCCACGTATCTCTTGTAGAATCCGAAGTTATCTATTATCTTCTTTAGGTGTGTATTTTCTAGTTTTGACATGAAAATATCTGCAAGCAGCGGGCCGAGTGGTGAGCCCATAGCTATACCATCTTTTTGTCTATATATTTCATTATTGAAAGTGAATTGGACGTTTAGAGTACATCTTAATAGGAGTTCCTTCAAATAGTCAGTGGGTATACCAATGTTCATCTCCTTTGAATCAATATATTCACATATATAGCATATTGTTTCGGTTAGTGGGACGTTTGTAAACAGTGATACCACATCTAGTGAGAACATGGTTTGATTGGAAACGCTGACGTTTTCAATGGAATTGACAAAATCGAAGGAGTCTCGAAGTGAGTGGCGGGAGATTTGCTTTCTGACTGGTTCTAGTATGTTTACTAGCCATTGTGCGGTACTGTGATAAGGTGAATTAGTCATATCGAGAATGGGTCGAAGAGGTACGTTTTTCTTGTGCACTTTTGGTAGTCCATATAGCCGGGGTATATTTGAGCCTGACGGTTGCAACAACTCAAATATACCAAAAGTGCACAAGAAAAACGTACCTCTTCGACCCATTCTCGATATGACTAATTCACCTTATCACAGTACCGCACAATGGCTAGTAAACATACTAGAACCAGTCAGAAAGCAAATCTCCCGCCACTCACTTCGAGACTCCTTCGATTTTGTCAATTCCATTGAAAACGTCAGCGTTTCCAATCAAACCATGTTCTCACTAGATGTGGTATCACTGTTTACAAACGTCCCACTAACCGAAACAATATGCTATATATGTGAATATATTGATTCAAAGGAGATGAACATTGGTATACCCACTGACTATTTGAAGGAACTCCTATTAAGATGTACTCTAAACGTCCAATTCACTTTCAATAATGAAATATATAGACAAAAAGATGGTATAGCTATGGGCTCACCACTCGGCCCGCTGCTTGCAGATATTTTCATGTCAAAACTAGAAAATACACACCTAAAGAAGATAATAGATAACTTCGGATTCTACAAGAGATACGTGGACGATACTTTTATTATCGCCAATAATGAGGAAAATTTGGAGAACATATTGGACTTCTTCAACAGTTGCCATCCAGCAATCCAGTTCACACTAGAGAAGGAGTCCAACGCAACAATATCTTTTCTGGACGTGCAACTAGCAAGACGCGAACAAGATGGGACACTCAAAAGATCCATTCACAGAAAACCGACATGGAATGGACAACTCATCAGCTTTCACAGTTGGGTGCCTATATATACAAAACGAAATCTGATCCGCTCACTGACTCACAGAATCCACAACATTTGCAGTCCGGAAACTATAGAAGAAGAGCTGAAGACCCTGAAAAGAATCCTCCTTGAAAACGGTTACCCGGAACGTTTCATCACAAAAGCTATGAAGCCCAAAACACAAAAACCATCCATGCTTACTGCTCCCAAGAAACTTCTCTATTTGAATCTACAATTCAACGGAGATTCTTCAGCAGAAATACTGAGAAACCGCCTGTGCCGTTCACTGAAGAAAACCTTCTTCGCAGCGGAACTCAGACTAACTTTCTCTACGAAACCAATGATTCGCACGAACGTGAAGGATAAGCTTCCACTGGGGGCCTCATCAATGTGCATCTACCAATTCACCTGCTCATGTGGAGCTAGGTATGTCGGCCGTACCCAGCGTTTGCTATCCAAACGAATCAGCGAACACTTACCTTCATGGTTTTATAAAGGAGAAAGAAGATCCCCCCGCCACAGCTCTATCCTAGAACACTTGATCGAATCCGGACACCAAGCAAACCCACAAAACAACTTCTCAGTTATCTACACAATACGTGGGAATCTTGCCAAAAGAGTACGAATTAAACTTCTTCAAACTGCAGAAGCAATGGCAATTCACATATTGAATCCTGAACTCTGCATACAAAAGAAGTTTGTTCAGTCACTAAATCTACAATGGTCCTGATCTATCTTAACACCAAATACGTAATTTTGTCTTACCTCTTTCTTCTTTGTTTGTCTATTTCTTAATTGCATTATTTTCTACCCCCACCCTCTATTAAATCTCTACGCTCATGACGACTGTTGCTAACTCGATTTTCGTTTATTTTTAAGTGAATTCTACTCAGATTATTAACTTGACTCTCATTCATTTTTTCATTGAACCCTATCAATTAGATTACGTCACCCAACCTACTTTTGTAACTTTATTTTAGTTTCTAACCGATTAACGCCTTCTAAATTACGTAATTTGTTTGTCAAAAATTAACAATTGCATTAACACATCTTTGGAAATATTCCTTTTGTTGCCAAGACAAATTACTATAAATTTGCGATTTGTACAGCTTGAGAATGATATCGCCGAAAAGAGTAACTCTTTGCTGAACACCTTTTACAAAGTAAGCACCCAATGGAATCAAGGAATAAACAACGGTGTTCATGTGATGGACAAACTGTTTGGGAAATCCATTCCTCATGGATGATCTGTTTATAATACTTATTTACTGATTTAGACATTTCAACTAACTGTCATTATCATACGCTTCCCCACCCCCCCCCCGAAAACTATGTATGATTAATTTGATTTTCGCACATAATATATTGATCTTGACCTTTATTATTTGCGTTTGTCCTTATTTAATCTCTAACTGTAACACTTCTCTATATGGTTGTGTGTACATTGACAATCTGCTGTGTAACGATATGAGTTTGTTTGGATGAATGGCTGTGATTTTGACCCAAGGCTGTATGAGCGAAGGAAAGCCTTCGTGTGTGATTTTATGTGGACAGAGCTTTCGATCCCACTTCGTTGAGAATATCCCCCCTCCTCGATTCTAAGGTAGCCTTTTAGAGTTGAACCTACCCCTAACTAATTTTGTCTTACAGGGCTTCTTTTGTATTTGGAAGCCTATATTGTCTGTATAACAATAGCTACCTCACGGTATTGTTGAGGTAAATTTGAAATTTCATGTTATGATTACTATCGTTTAATTAATAATCGTCTTTTCCCAGTGTTTTGGAACGTTCTATGATGGCGCATATCCCAAAGAAGTTTTGTCTGTTATACAATGGAATGTAGCGATCGGTTTCTTGTGTTCACCCCATAACCAAATAATTTTGGTCGTTACAGTTCAATTTCAAGTTTCAGTGTGGTTTCGTTAGCAAAGAATTCACTGCACGTGAAAGGATATTTGTTGTAATTTGTTTCGCATGTAGCAAGGTTAAATGAAACAATCATTCATGTGTACCTACTAATGAAACTTATATCCAATGATATTCCTAATTGTGGTGGACTGACTGGATTATGCGTCAGACAGTGGGAAACGAGAAGACAGGGACATCCTGGACCGACCTAGATGACCTGGATTTCGCGTGTGGATGATTTATGTTTGATGTCACTCAAAATCGAAGACTTACAAGCGAAAACCGACAAACTGGTCGAAGAAGCAGCCGGCGAAGACAGGACTCCAGGTGAACATAGACAAGACGGAGGTTATGAAAATAACCAACCAACAACAACAGCAGCAACATCCAGCGTCAATCACCATCAACGGGGGGATTTGAAAGAGTTTACTTCATTCACTTATCTAGGGAGCATTGTCTCAAATACAGGAAGTCGGAACGGACGAGGATGTCAAATAGAGCGAGAATCGGGAAGGCGAGAAACACATCCATCAACCTGAAACAAATCTATGGAAATATTAGTCACTCAGCATCAACAACAAAATTCAGTCCGATTTTCAATACAAACATCAAGTCATTCAGCTCTTCTATCAGGATCAGAAACTTGGCGGGGGGTCACAAACAACATTTCCAACAGCCTTTTGCAGACCTTTATCAACGAGCAACTGTCTTCGCTGGCTCTATACTGAAGATCAGATGGCCGGGTCGGAAAGAATCACCAACAAGAAACTAAGGGAAGTAACAAAACAAGAAACAACCGCCAACCAACAAATATGCAGGAGAAAGTGGAGATGGATCGAACACTCGCTGAGGACGCCGCTGCGTGACATCGCGCGTGCGTCAGTCCATTGCTCGAATGGAACCCGAAAGGGGAGCGACAAGTGGGACGTTAGTGCAAGGATGACATTGAGGAGATCGTGTGAAGAGGAACCGAAAGAGTATGGACTAACATGGATGCAGGTGAAAAGTACAGCAGAAGACAGAAGCAAGTGGAGACGAGCAGTTGAAGCCCTATGTTCCACTAGGAACTCAAGGGAACAATAATAATAATAATGCCAATGAAACAATCAGGAATTCACAGGAAAGGTGAATACTGCTTAAGCACTTGAGTAGTAACAGTAGCACTAGTGCAGCGGTAACCAGTTGTAGTTGCTGAGAAATATAATCCGTAACACTATAAACGAACTAAGAAGTCAGTCACTGCAACTCCGACTCTTCATCCAATGTGTGAAGTGAGAGACATAGTAGTTTAGCCAGCTTAACCGCATACAATAGCGGGTTTCCATTCGGTCCCAGCTTCGCGGTACGAACTGCTGCATTGTCGGACAGGCAACTGTCTGTCTATCGAACTCCGCCACCAGTCAGTCAACCAATAGCTCGAAGGTTTCTATTATCTAACCGCCTCGCACTGTTGTAAGCCACGTTTGCCCAACCTCACAGTAGCGTCCTCAACACCACTGTCTCCGGTGGATCCTCGATGCCTTCCAACTGAATGACGGAATCGAAATCCCAAAAGAAGCTCTTGATATATCCTCCTTCGAAAGCAGCCAGCGATGGGATCTTCACTGTCTGAAGGCAGCGGCACTAAATGCAACGGTAGAAGACAGGGGACTTGGCAACGGAACGTTTATTTGGAATTTTTTATCTCCCTCTATATAGGGAAATTATGTGTACATCTCATATGAAAATCATTATTTGCACAGATATTTTGTGTTGTGCTACTTCTGCCCTTCTGAAATAATGGAGAAAGTTTGTAGCTCAGGTGGATGTTACTGAATTAGTTATGTTCTCTGGGCTGGTTTATTGAATTGCGAAGCTTTCTTCGTCCTTCTATAGACAACATCTTCAGTGAAGGTTCTAGTATACTCTCTTCAACATTAAATCTATCTCTCCACTATTTGATATTTTGTGACGAAGAATGTCTCTTTACATACTACTGATTAACTGGTCAGTAGAACACGCCAAAGTAGTAGTAGTAGTATTTTTCAACACTAAGAATTTAAATATGACGTCAAATGAAAATAAGTCAAAACTAATGTGAGATATATCTAAGGATCGCATTTTAAAATTTGTTAAAAATTAAGGAAAACGCCAAGTTGGACAACTTGACCCACCTGTATCGATGCTTGGTGACTAGGAATTCCAGAAGATATTGAAATGAGCACTATAAATTGAAAAAAAAATGTGTTAAAACATATAATAGTAGGGATTACTACATTCTGCTTTTGCAAATAGAAAGAAATAGCGACCAGTTGAGTACAGCAGATCGCGTGTGAGGACAGATGTCAGTCATCAATGACACTGGCTAATGAAGTGATCGTGCAATATCGTGTGTGAATTGGCAAGAGTTGGCATTCATGGACCGGATATTGAGCAGTCAAGTTCCAGTGACTGAATGGGCTACGAGCTAGCTTGATTTGTGAATAGAAGGTGGTGGGTTCGAACCCTGATGTGGGGGGGGGGGTAGATGTGTGTTGGTGAAGAGCATCAAACTAGGCTGATGAATCAACCACGTGACAGTACCTCAAGGTTTTTCAATGGTGCTCTAACTGATGTCAGCTCACGATGAAATATTGTAACGAATCAAATCCCCGCAAACCAACACTTGACAAAGTAAAGCTCAATTTTTGCAAACGAACAGACGACTGACGGCCTATTTATAGAATGACTAAAACCTACCAATCAGATGAACTGTATGGGCGAAAATAGGGTTACGTAAATTGGATACTAGAGGACAGAAGTCAATGAACGAGGAAAAGCTGGATCTGAATCGTTAAGGAGTTCAACGATCGTTTTATTCTCACATTCTATTGTATATCAGCGCCTAGCTCAAATTTCTTGTTATTTCCGCCTATATATGTGAGACTAGACGGTGATCACTGTGTCTACGTAATCTCCAACTACAGAGTATCAGACATATGCATAATAGCTTTTCGATAGTTCCCGGTATGATTAATAAGTTACGCAAGTATTCCAGTCTTAAAATAGGTGGGGATTTTCGCAAAGTTCCAAAAATAACCACGTTGATCAGTTTCGAAACACCTAAGTCTCTTCTGATATTACCTCCCTGAAAACAAATGTGCCAGTCGTTGAGACTATTGACTATATATGTAGAGAAGCTGACGAAATACCCACTCCAACATTGGAACTGAAGAAATTTTTGCTTTTATGTACTAAAAAATATCCATTTTCAATTCGATGGGTGTCTACTCCAAGAAATAAGCCCCTGAAAAACTATCCAAACAGTTCCAAATAAATCTGTCTATATCAATTTGCCATTCAAAGGAGACGATGTACAAGAAGTAGCCAAATGAAGAATCAATAGAGCTATCGGGAGAACTCATCTACCTTAACACCACCGAGAGGATGCTTCAACCAGTCGCCAATCCCCTATACTTCAAACTGCTGCGTATATTAATTTGAGTGTGTTTGTGGAAACAAATACATAGGCTGTACAGAAAGGCGACTGTCTACTCGCATGATGGAGCATTTGCCAAAGTGGTTGAAAACAGTTGAATTCAAAATACCCAAAAGTTCAGTGACAAAGCATCTTGTGGACTACGGACATGATATTGACGCTGTCACGTCACTCATTGTTGTCAGTAGACAAACAAACAGGAAGATGCTTACGATTGTGGAGGAGACTAGTGCAATCAGTGTCTATAAAACAGATCTCTCTGTACAAAAAGAAATGGTAGTCACTCTGAATCTGCCATGGTAATATGTTTTACTTATTAACTGTTATTACTATTAATACTGTTTTATTGTCTCTCTTATTGTTGCTATTTCTGACCCATTTAAAACTATATTTTATCATTATCATTATCTTCGCTCGTTTTACATTATTATTATTATTGCTGACTTACTGCCTTCAACATAGAACTTTGCACATATGTGCATCAGCCCCAGTTGGTCATTAGCGGTCTGTAGCCGGTTTGACTCACCTCAGAGAGAAGGCCAAATCAGTTCAAACCGCACCCGACTTCTGATTGGCTGGCTAGCTACTTGATCGAACTGCTCATGTCATATATAAAATTTTCAAGTATTGGTTTTGTAGGGATTTTGTTTGATTGCATGGAGGATTTAATCATGAGCTGACATCAGTGACCAGTAGGGTACAGCAGGTTGAAGATGAGGCAGTAACTCATCGAAGAAGACATTGCGAAGTGGTCGCGCTATGTCGTGAATTGGCAGAAGTTAGAATTCAAGGACCATTGGATCGGGTCCCAGTGGCTCAGTGGTCTACGAGCTCGCCTTGTAACCAGTCCTGGGTTCGAATCCCGTGGTGCGTACTGTTGAAGAGTCCCAAACTAGGACGAAACAGCTGTCCAGTACTCCCAGGTTTCCAGTGGTTCTCTAACTGATGTCAGCTCATGATTAAATCCTCCATGCAATATATAAAATTCACAATTCGCAATTTACACAGTTCAGCTGTTTGAACTGACATGACGGATATATATATGACTGCTTCTTTATGTCCTTTAGATAAGATACATATTAAGGCTACAAGTTATTTAGAGAAAGGAGTAGAGAAACGGCAGCTATCTTACCTTGCACTTTCATCAAATGTAACCACACACACACACACATACAATATACATAATAGTTAGCCAATCGATAATTGCAACAAACATATGTCATTTGTAAAAGCATGCAGGACTGCTCATGATATATCAATTTCACAGAAAAGCAGTTTCTAATAGATTGGATAATGATATTTGAGACTGTAAAAGATTGCATGCATTCATAGAAACTCAAATGACAAATCCACATACTTAGAAATATATATATATATATATATATTTATCATTTCAGTAACACTTGTCTAGGAAAAATCGTTCCAACTACAGGCAATAGCACGTATGAAGATGTCAAATTCAGCCAGCCAGAATCGGAAAGGCGAGATACACTTTCACCAATATGAAATCAATTTGGAAACCTTCTGCACTCCACCTAAGCGCAAACGCAAAGAGCGAAATTTAGATTCTGCTCAGCACAAATCTTAAGTCAGCCACTCACTCCTTCGATATGGAGTCAGAAACTTGCAATGCGTGTGAGTCACGAAAAGCATTTCCAAAACAGGCCACTACTGTTGACTCTTATCAGCAGCTGCCTCCGTGTTGAAGATCAGGTGGCTGATCAGAAAGAATTAGGAACAAACAAGAAACTATGAGAACAAACCAGACAAGAATCGATTGCTCAACAAATATGCAGAAGAAAATGGAGATGGATTGGCCATACGCCACTGAGGAGACCATTTGGTGACATAGTGCACCAGGCTAGCCCTCGAGTGGAACTCGAATGGGAAACGACGAGTGGGGTTTTGGTCCGAGGATGATGTGGAGGAGATGAGAGATCATAGGCAATCGTTTATTTGATTAATTAGTTAGTATAACATAACTGTAATATTGTGCAGTCCTTATTGTCGACCTAACTTTATCTTACAAGTTCGCAATATAATTACCAAGATAGAAGGCTGGCGCCAACATGATGTATGCATATCGGATCTATGTTCGATAGTAGCAAATAACCTGTAGCAATCCCTCTGTTTGTGGTGGGAACTGGCTGCTAGCCAAATTGGTAGTCAGTAATTTATGTCAATGTTTACGTCCCCAACATTAGTCGTGAGAAAAATAAGAACAATCACTGATTTAACAACCAACCACAGCAGACTTTGCGTAGTCGGATACAGTTAACATATAGATGAACTGACATTCAAGAAACAGCCACAAAGAGATGAAAGATTAACTTTCAGTGAGAAACAACCAATCAAAAGACTGCCTTTTTCTGCTAACGATAATCTATAATATATACATGAAAATCTATAAATATGTGTTGATTTCCTTAATAAAGGATCTGTTGCCTGGCCCTTATCACCTGATGTCACATGTCTACTCGGATTCGTCGCAGCTAGGTGCATCTACAACACTGACCGACATGATATACCCTCAGCCAATGGAATCGAGGTGACATAGTACTGCTGCTGCTGCTGCTAAAGCCCGACAGGAAATTAATCATAACTGTAAAAAAGTTCAGTGATAACCTCTCTAACTGCACAGCACTATATGATGCAGATTCGAATATGTGAGGAGAATACATGTGTTACTGACGACGAATGTCGCCGGTAAGCATGACATATTGGTTTGCGGCTGGGTCTTTTTTCTCTTAGGGCCTTTTTTTAACTACCACCCAACATCTAGTTTATTTTAAGCCCAGTAAATGACTAGAATTGTCTTTGGTGTATACATTTTTTCTATTCTGAAGTCGGTGATCTATTATAATGTTGAATTTACACAGTATTTACAAATAAAGGTGGATAATTTTTGCTATAGTGAGATATACTTATGATCCATTAGTAACATTTCATTATGATATAGACTAATACAGCATGTAGAGCAGGAGAACAACCCTAAGATATCAAATATTTAGATAAAGTAAAGGGAATTAATATAACTGGATGGGAAGTTGGTAATTTTAAGAGCATAATACAAAATTCAGAAGGGAAGGACTACCTTCCCATCCCCCAGCTTCCCTCCTTACACTCTTGGCATAATCTATATTGTCAACAATACATGGTAGTAGTACGTCAACAGCTCTTGAATTGACTGATATTCAATTGTTTGCTAATCAGTTAATTCACGGAAAATACCCATTGAGTCATGAAGAAAATAAAAGACGGATTCAGCGAAGAAAATTTTCTTTATCGACGAAATCATCTTCAGAGGCTGTACAGTCGTATTTATACTTAGAAGAATGTATGGTGGTCTATTATTGAATAATAGGGGGTGACATAATTGCTGTAATTAATCATAAGTGGCTTTAGAGGTGAAAATTAAAAGTTGTAAATTACATGGTACTTGACGGAACAAAGATAGAAGTTAGAAAAGGTTAAAATTGCTCTTGAGTGAGAATAAAGTTATTAGAGTGTCAATTTAACAAGTGTGAAGAAGGTGTGAAAATATATGAAATTGATAATAGTGAATTAATTATTAAAGCAAAAGCAAACTAAAAGTAAAATTAAAGATTAAGAACAAAATCAAAAATATTTTTTAACAGGGAAGGATAAGTGAAGAGGTTAAGACCAAGGTAGAATAAGAGACTGGACAAACTTTTTCTGTATACAGAGATCAGGGTTGTATTGATGTATTGCCAGCGCCTCCGCCA